GTCAGCTCCCTGCAGTAACTACCTCAGTCTCCCAGTCCTCACTGGCCTAGATGCTCCTGTGCCGGTGCGGGTGCACTGATCTGTACAGCTTGGGGGCGCCCAGCGGCAGGAGAGTCCTCGATGTCCTGTGCCCACCCCACCTGTCCTGAGGGAAATGCAGGATCGTGGGCTGTGTCCATCCGGTGCCCTGGGATCCGGGGCCGGCACTACTGGAATGTGCTCCTGGGGCCGCCTCTCCCGAAGGGAATGGGGCTTAGCCACCTCCATCTGGAGCTGCCCGCCTAACCGACTGGCTTCTCCCAAATTCCCCAGGGGCTGTGGGGCCCTTTTCCGAGATTGGTCCGGGGTTTGCGGTGTGCTTTCCCCCTGAGCGCCCCTCCTCTTACAGTGACTCTGGGAAACTGGAGGCATCACAGCCCCTCCTGGGATTTTTGTCCGATTTCCTTGCTAAGCACTTTTCTGTCTGGGAAAAATCCTGCCCAGATTTTTAACCTTCCTGCCTCACTGGGGCTGGGCTTTCCTGCCCCGGAGGGTCTCACACCTCTGCTTTTTAGCCCAGCCACTCGCGGTGCCCCTCCCCCACTTTATTCTTTTTTCTTTTTTCACCTTTCTACCTTGTTAGAAGTGAAAACTCTTTTCTCTGTAGCATTCCAGCTGTTCTGTCTTTATATCTCAGGTCAAATTCATAGGTGTTCAGGATGTTTTGAAAGTTATCTAGGTAAGTTTATGGGGCCAGGTGAGTTGAGGACTTTTTATTCTGATGTAATCCCTAGAGTTTATTTTTGCTTTTGTTTCCCTTGTCTTAGGAGACATACCTAGAAAAATGTTGCTACAGTATCTTATAGTTTTAAGTGCTACTGTAAAGGTTATCTTTTTTAATATCATATTTTTGGATATTTTTTGTAGGTTCATGGGCCTCCAACAATTTTTAATATAGTGTTCTTACATCTAGACATCTTTTAAAAGTAAGAGTTCTAATAGTTTGACTATCCTCATGAACGATTTTGTTTCTTACTTTCCAATCCTATTACTACTTATTTATTTTTTCATATCTTAGTAGACTTGCTAGTCTTCTAGGGAAATGCTGCATATCAAGTATTTGTACCCTGTTCCAGACATTGAGGATTTACCTTTATCTGTTTCATCTTTGAGAATGATGCTTGCTTTGGGGTTGGGATTTTATTTTTTTTAATAGACCTCTATAAGTTAATAAAGTTCCCTTCTGAATCTAATCTGCCTTTTTTAAAAAAAATCATAAATGTGGTTATATTTCATTTAATCAAATGATTTTTCTAAATCTACCAAGATTATCACATTTCTCCTCTCAATTTGTTAGTGTGGTGAACTATATTTCTTTTTAAAGATTTTTATTTATTTATTTATTTGACAGGATGAGAGAGAGAGAGAAAGCAAGCACAAGCAGGGGGAGTGGCAGAGGGAGAGGGAGAAGCAGGCTCCCCACTGAGTAGGGAGCAGGACATGGGGGTCGATCTTAGGATTCCAGGATCATGACCTGAGGCCAAGGCAGATGCTTAAACGACTGAGCCACCCAAGCGCCCTGTGATTAACTACATTAATACATTCTCTAATGTTACCATTCTTGGTAAAAATTATTTGGTGATGACATGTTTTAATGCATTGCTGGGTTCAATTTGTTATTTCACTTAGACTACTATGTGTAATTTCATAAGTGATATTTGCCTTTAATTTTTTCTTTCTTCCATTTACTTCTTTGGTATTTGTCTCAAAGTACCTCATAAATGAATTGGGGAATATTTCCCTTTTTTACTCTCTTTTAGGAATTTAACAAAAATTGAATTTGGCTATTCTTTTGAGAGTAGTCACCTTGAAGATAGTGTGAGTCTACTGGTGATGTTTTCTTAGTTCTTTGGTGCATGTATTTTAAACAACTTATTTAATTTCTCTCTATTCATAGTCTATTCAAATTCTATATTTTCTCTTGGTGATCTTTGGGAAGCTATACTCTCTCAGAAAGGTGTCCTGTTCTTTCAGATCTTCAAATTTATTACCCCAGATCGTTCAATGTATTCTGATTTTTAAACTTCTATTGTATCTATAGTTATTGTACTTTTTTTAAAAAGATTTTATTTATTTATTCATGAGAGACACAGAGAGAGAGAGAGAGGCAGAGACACAGGCAGAGGGAGAAGCAGGCTCCATGTAGGGAGCCCGACATGGGACTCAATCCCAGGTCCCCAGGATCCGGCCCTGGGCTGTAGGTGGCGCTAAACCACTGAGCCACGCGCGTTGCCCTATTGTACTTTTTATTCCTAATATTATTTGTATCTTCTCTCTTTTTTCATTCTCAGTGTTTCCAGAAATGTCTATTTAACTAGTCCTTTCATAGAAGTTAGAAATTTACCCTCACAAAACATCTCTAACAGTATCAACACAACATGTACAGGATTACCCACTCTGACATTATTCATAATAGCAAAACAGTGGAAACAGTCCAAATGTCCACATGCAGGAAATGAGCTGAGTAAATTATGGTACTTCCATATAGTAGACTACTATATAGTTATTTTTTAAAAAAAAGACTGAGGAAGATCTCTATAACTGATAGGCCATGATTTCCAGAATATGTCATTAAATGGAAAAAAGATTGTGCAAAGAGTTTATGTAGAATGTGACCTTTTGTATAAGGAAAAAGGAGATATATGTTTGTATCTGCTTACTTTTACAAAGAGAAATAGGAAGGATAAAAATGTTGGCCTACAGAGGATGGATGGGCTGGAGATAGAAGGGATAAGGAGGGGAATGGAACTTTTTAATGCCTTTTTATATAGCTTTAACTTTTGAGTGATGTTGATATTTTATATACTTCAAAAAAACCAAATCAATAAGAATAGGGAAACTGAATGCCAACAACATAAATAAACCTAACTATATATCAAACAAATAACATAACCACACAGAAGAAACACATTAATTCAAATAACTTTTGAAAACAATTCTGTGAATACTCTCGGCAGGATATATTCTAAGAACAAAAAGAACTTCAAAGAAATCTTGAGTTTCACTTAATACACTTTTGGGGAGTAGTGTTGATGTAGCGATTCTGAAATTCTTTCATTTGTGTGTTAAGATTTGGTAAGTGAGTACATATATGGTTCTTGGATTCTCATTTGGGAAAGAGAGAGATATAAATATGGAATAGGAAGAGGGCAAGACCTCTGAGATGCTGGATTGGTATATTGGCATGAACTCATCATTCTGAAGCTGCATCTCCTAGCTCTGAATGCTAAGAGGGCCTAGAAACAATGACATTCCAGCAATGGTGAGCACACCTCAAATTCAGATCTTGGTATCCAAATACCATTCCCCTCTGAAAGGAATGAGAGCTCTTTGAAGAAATGCATGATTGTAGGACTAGGGCACAGAAAGTACAAGATGAGTCTGGAATATCCATATATTGTGCCAAAAAAGTACTGAAGTACTCAAAGGAGAAGAAGGGCATGTCAAATGGATAAAGAAACTGCTTTAGAGTTTTCCTACTTGTCACATTTAGGCACAATTTGTATATCAAAATGAATAAAAACAGAAGTAAATCATTACCAACCGACTATGCAAAATGTACTGACCATACTGATAATTTTAAAAACATTAAAGGGAGAGGGAGAAGGAAAAAAATCTTGCTTACAGGAGGGGGCCCGCAAATAAATATAGAAGGAAGGATATCTATGAAATATAGAGGAAACTTCAAGACTAGGTAATGACTCTACTCCCAATCAGATTTTCACTCATGGTTTTAGTATCTGTTGGTCATTCTTTTCCTTTCTTTTCTTTTTTCTTTTCTTTTCTTTTCTTTTTTTTTTTTTTTACAGTTTTAGGCTAAAATGAAGAAAGCAACTATAAATATTTGCGTACAGATTTCACGTGGACATACGTATTCATTCCTCTTGAAGTAAATCCCTAAAAGTACAGTTGCTGGCCCACATCGTATATGAGCGTATGTTTCCCCTTACAAGAGACCGCATACCATTTCACACACAACCCTGCCCCAGTCCTGATCCAGGTTCTAGGATCACACGCTGCATTCCATTGTTCACTCTTTAGCCCTGTAGTATAATCCAGGAGAGATGAGGGAAAATATCCCCTAAAAGATTCCTACATTCACGTTCAAAGCAGCACTGTCTGTTATGAACTTCAAACTGGAACTGGCCCAATGTTCACCAAAAACAGGATGGATAAATAAATTTTGATATAGTTATAACAATGGGGATGTGAGGCAGTCAGAAATGAAAAAAGAACAAATTAATACTATGTACAACAATGTGCATGAGTCTCACACACAATTTTGAGTGAAAGAAGCCAGACTAAAAAAAGGACATTCTGATGATTCCATTTATATAAAATTCAGTGATAGGCAAAACTGGAACATAGTGAGGGAAAGTCAGAAAAGTGATTCCCTGTGGCACTGAGGAATCCAGGAGAGGTTCCTGAGATGCTGCTAATGCTCTAAATCTAATTGAGTGTTTGGATGTGCTTGCTTTCTGAAAACTTACCAAGCTGCACATGCATGATGAATGCACCTTTCTGTACATTAGTTTTGCTCTTATACATAATTTTAAAAAGAGCAAATATAACCCTGATTCCAAAACTAAGCAAAAAGAATACTGAATCCTTTCTAATTTTAGACTTTAGGTTTTAGAAGGTGTGCTTATTTTCTGACTTCCTAAGCTTTTTGGGGAAACTTCCCTGTAACTAGCATGTCTTAGTGACAATACTTGGGATGGGAGTGTGCAGGGACACACGTACTTTGAGGCCCCTTGCTGGGTGCACATTGCCATGCCTTTATGAAAAGAAATTTGACAATACACATCAAGAGAATTAAAAAGACTTATTGTCCACTTTATCTGATAATTCCCCTCCAGGGTTGTATCTTAAATCAACATCTCAAATATTTATGAATAGTGATATAAAGTCATACATTAAACATTTTTTTGGAAAAGAAAACACTTTGAGGTAATACTTACAATTGGCGTTCCAAAAGGAATATAACCTGAGAAAGGAGAGAAAAGGGTCAGGTCTTACAGTCCCACCCATTCCACCGCAGCCACCTCTCAAAGGATAGACACCAGAAGAGACTTCTGGGTTTGCCTTTCAATGGCCCAGTGAGAGAGCTCCGGTCAGCAAGGCAGGAGGCCCCTCCAGGCTCCAGATCTTCTCCTGGCTCAGCCCTCCCCAGGATAGAGGGCTCCCCTGTGTCCCCCAGCTGCTCTTTCTCTGTCCCCCTATAGCCAGACATTTCTTACCCTCCCCAAAACTCAGAGGCTGGTTGCTAAGGGCAGGGCTGCCCATTTTTGGGAGGGCCACCATGCTACACTTGGTGTTCGTCCCATGATTTCCCCCATGAGGTACAATGTCCCCTGCCCACACTCACTACACACAATACGTTTTCTTCAAAGGCCCTGGAATGTCCTCCTCCTCTCATCTTGCCTTTCTAGCACACATCCTTACTTCCCCAGCATCATGACCAATTCTGGGAAGGGAACTCCCCACACACTTGAGATGTGTACCTCTATGTGCCAGAGGTACTCTTTGACTTTCTCATACCCCGCTAGACATCATCAGTAGGGTGGAAGAGAGCTGATGTGAAACGCAGCCAGGCCCCAGGGCACCACTGCCTCACTGCTCACTCCCCTGGACTACGGGAGGCTCTGCCCATTGTCCCCACCCTGCAGTCAGCAGGCAGCCTGACCTCTCACTCGGGGCCATCAGTCAGCTGGATGTGGGACAGCAGAGAACCATGCTTATCTGGGTTATCCAAAGCAAAGTTTCCGGAGTGTGGTAATTACGCATGCACATGAGCTGTCTGTCACTCCCCTACCCACATTCCTCTGGAGACAGATCCAAGGTTTGTCTGGAGAACTACAAGAGAATCTAGGCTCCAGGTGAGAGCCTGCTGTAGCCCTGTGCAGGGGCTAGGACCTGCAGCCATGGCTATAGGATGCTCAAGCCTTGGCAGCCTGGGGCTCCTCACAGCAAAGCAAGGAGGATCATTGGGCTCTCACTGCCTCCATTAGCACAGTGAGGTCATGTGGTTGTTTGTTCTCTCACTCATGTGAGGTCAGGCTTTCTGGGGCTAGGGATCCTGACTGACCCAGCTGAGAACACCCCCTGACAGAGACCCATTCTCCAGTCACCTGAGGACTTCCAAGGCAGTGGCCAGCAGTCCTCCACCCAGCCTGCAAAAGTGTCCAGTCCACTGAGAAATGGCATGGAGGAGGCATCAGCCCTCTGGTGTGAGCCTGACTCTGGACAAGACCTGTAGCCTCTCAGAACTACAGGTAGGGCAAACATGCGAACCCCAGGCCCCATGTGAGCAAACACTTTCCAGGCTACTAAGCTCATGCTTACAGAGCTATCCCTCTAGTGACCACAGAGCAGGGACTTCCTGAGGGCAGGCACTTCCTGGAGGCAGAGATCTCATGCCCACTCTCCCACCCCATCCCTTCTGCCACTGGTCTCCAGAAAATGGGAATCTGTCTTCCCTGTGTATACAGTAGCACAAATGCAGTGCATGCATTCTGGAGTACAGGTGAACCTGGGGATTGAGTGCCTGCAAGGGAGCATGGTTTGGAAGGAAAGAGTGCAGTGTGCACAGGTAGGTAAGAGAGGAGTGACACACAGCATGCAGGGCTTGCCCAAATTTGGTGTCACCCCTGAGGCTTCCACTAAGTGAGTAGTGTATAACCTGGGAGGAGTTCCAGATTCACCTGTGGAGGCCTTCACTCCACCCCAACTGCTCAGGCAGAAAAGGCAGATGGGGATTTTTTTTTGTAAAACCCCGTAGGTGATCCTGAGGCCTGGCCAGAGACTTATACAGTCGAGCCAAGGTGAACACGCAGGTACAAATGTGGCCATGCGTGTAACGGGTTCGGCCATTCCTCGAGTTGGTGCACCTGGATGCTCCTGGAGCTGTGACCATGGTAAGCCCCTGAGGCTGGGCAGAAACAGGAGGGTCCCAGGGACTTACCCGACATTCTAAAGGGCATGAAGATCTTCTCATTGGTATCTGGGTGTAGAATAGCCTGGCAAGAGCAGGGAACAGAGCACAGGGTGACTGTGGGAAGGGGAGGGAGCGGGCAAGGGGAAGGCAGAGGGAGGAAGGAGGAAAAGAGCTCCCCCAGAAGGACTGACCAGTCAGTCCTGTCCCATCATTCAACACAAGAGAAAACCAAACACGTGCCACAAATAGGCTTTTGCTGACTAACCCTCAAAGCTGAGTGCAGGGTAGTGGGACTGTGTCTACCTGGCAAGTCCTCTGTCCCCATGCCTGATATTTAGTAGGCCCATAAGAAGGATTTGTAGAAGGACCCCACAGGGAAGGAGCTCAGGGGCCCAGGAAAAGGCAAGGGGCCTGAGCTCTGGCACTCAGACTCAGGCCCCACGTGTTGGTAAAGAGGGAAGGATGAGGAGGCTGGCAGCTGGGGGCAAATGGGAGGGGAAGGCTGAGCAGCACAGCCACAAATCCCCAGGACAGGGCAGGGCAAGGTCCACAGAGGAGGGAAGGAAACGAATCCAAAACTGAATTACCTGCTTGATTTTCTGTGCACTCCAGAGCTGCAAAGAAGGAAGGGTGGGAGAGAGACAGAGGAGAAAAAAAGGAAAAGAAAGGACAAAAGTTAAAGGCATATATCAGTTGAAGATCTCATAAGCCACATCTTTTAACTAAGAGATCCAGCTCCAAAGGACACAGAGGCTCAGGCTGTCCTGGCATCCTCAGGTCTGGCAGCTTCCCCGGGGCTCCGACATCAGGGATCCCAGGACAGCAGAACCAGGGGATCTCATGTAGATCATTTAAACCAAGGGTTCTCTACTCTGGCTTGCTCTAAAGTTACTTTAAAATTCTTCCAGCAGTTCTCTAGTTGATTCTAAGGTGTAGCCAGGCATGAAGCCCTGATTTCAATGGAGATACTTCAATGGTCTCCCATTGAAGAAGGCAGCATAGCATGATTTTTCAAAGCTGGACAGACTGTCTGGATTCCTGGCTTTGCCACTTCTTCCTTGGAACCTCCATTTCCTTATCTGTAAAATGTGGATAACAGCCGTGCTTCCAACATTGTGGAAGATGTATAGATAAGGGCCCTGAGGCAGCATTGGGCACCAACCCCTGCTGACTGCTGAGGGTATATTATCCCTCTTGTTGTAGTTGTTATAAGAAGGTTGTAAGGAGGAGAGAGTTACTTTCTTATTTTTTCTTTTTAAAAGATTTTATTTATTTATTCATGAGAGACACAGAGAGGCAAAGACATAGGCAGAGAGAGAAGCAGGCTCCCTGTGGGGAGCCCAATGCAGGACTCGATCCCAAGACCTCAGGATCACACCCTGAGCCAAAGGCAGGTGCTCAACCACTGAGCCACCCAGGCATCCTGAAAGTTACTTTCAACTGAACAGTGAGGTTGTCTCTCCAGCACAGTATGGGAGACAGGCTGGACAGACGGAACCATCACCAATTCCTTCAAATGATATAAATACTGCATTTCATCGATTCTAAGGTACACTATTATGTACTGCCGAGAAGGAAAAATATAACATAATCCCAAGACCTCCATCCATTAAAAGAGTCATCCCATTTGAGAGATGTTAAAACACAGATAAACTTTTTGGAATCAAGAAAACGTAGTAAATAAAAATTTACATGTGGGCAAACCAAAACCAGTGCACTTTTAAAGGAGCAAGAAAGTATGAGGTGAAAGGGAGGAGGTGGCCGGCAATTGATGTTAGTTTTACAATAGAATAGTTCAGTTATGCTTTGTTTATATGGCAATGTTGTCATCTGGAATATAAATTAAGCTGCAGAAGGTCACTGGATACCAGACACAGAAGCATAAGATTGATGTTCAAAAGTTTATGCATTTTACTCACAACAGGGTCCCTCCAGTCTTAATTCACAGCTTAATTACCTTTATTTTAGATACATTTCATCTTTTTAAGATTTTAATTATTTATTCATGAGACACACAGAGAAAGAGGCAGAGACACAGGCAGAGGGAGAAGCAGGCTTCATGCAGGGAGCCTAATGTGGGACTCGATCCCGGGACTCCAGGATCACAACCTGTGCCAAAGGTGGATGCTCAACCACTGAGCCTCTCAGGTATCCCTAGATATATGTCAAACATGTTTGATTGTTTGCGATTCCAGACCCACAAAGATTAGAAGTGGTCAATTTTTAAGAAATAACTATGGAAAAAGGGGACTGAAGAGAGAAAAATCAATTGCAGAATCATTGTTGGCCAAAGAAGGTAAGTCAGAGCATAATGGCAAAGAGGTAAAACAAAAGGATAAAAGGCCGATCTGCCTTTGCTCAGAAAGTGCCTTCATGCACTGTACCTCCAGTCCTAGCACCATGTTTGGTGTGACCCCAGGCCCTGTGCACAGACTCCTGACACCCTATACTTCCCACCTGGGATCAGAATCTTCCATTTCCAGGTCCAGCTCCTTGTCTTGTCTTCCAATCCAAGGCTGTCACCTGGCATCTCCCACAGTGCTGGGCACACAAAATCTAAAGCTATTCTAAAATTAAAATTTTATTTAAAAAAATTAAAGATCTCTCCATACAATTCAGGAAGGAAGGAAGGAAGGAAGGAAGGAAGGAAGGAAGGAAGGAAGGAAGGAAGGATTTAACTAATTCTCCATGATTCTGATGAACAGCCTGAGTGAAAAACACTGGTCTAAGACATCAAAGAACAGTGTAAAGAACAGGTATTAGAACCAGGCAGGCCTGTGTTTAAATCACTTACTTGATGTGTGGCACTGGGCAAATTACTCTGCCTGTGTGCCTCAGTTTCTCCATCAGTGACATGGATTGTTGTAAGAGTAGGGCAGAACCATGCTGGGGCACCCCGGCAGTTTGCATTTCCCTTTGGGCAAACAGTGAAGACCGTATTTCCAGCCTCCCTCATAGTCAGGTAGGCTCATGTGATGGGGTGCTGGCTAATGGACTGTGGGCTCCTGCAGAGGATCCAATGGAGGCTGGCAAGGCAGTGATGGTATGAGGTGAAGGAGCCCAGGTCCTGAACAATGGCATGTGCTCAGTTCCTGAGCCGTGCTGGACTCTGACATGAGACAGAAACAGACCTTAGGGCATAAGTTGCTGAAATCTGGGGTTGTTTGTTACAGCACTTGGCTCACCCTGCCGAATACAGAAGTTTAAATGAGATGTGTATATGTAAAATACTCAGCCCACAGGACATGTGCCATGAAAGCCTAAAATAGAGAAATCATTCAAGTAAGTAATATTTTTAACAGATTTAATTATTATTTTTTTAGAGTTTATTTATTATTCATGGGAGACAGAAACAGAAGCAGAGACAGGAGAAGCAGGCTCTCCACGGGGAGCCCAATGCAGGACTTGATCCCAGGACCCCAGGACCACAACCCAAGCCAAGGGCAGACACTCAACCACTGAGCCACCCAGGTGCCCCAGGATTTAATTATTTTTCAAAGCAACTTCATCTCTATTGTCATTCCTACAACATGCCTGTGAGATGGATAGATTATTTTCAGACAAGGCAACTCATCTCAGAGAGATTAAGTAACTTAGCCAGGGTCCCTAGGGGCTGGTGGCAGGATGGAGATGGGCCCCCCAGGCTCACATGTTCTCCCTACCCTCCAGGGGCCTCTGGACCAGTTCAATGTCTGGTCTGGCCAGGGTGACTGCCAAGCCTGAGGCACGAGAAGAGGAAGAGAGTTTGCTGACATCATCCTGGGGCCCCAGGACCTCCTCCTTGCAGCCCTGTGGCTGATGCCCCTCGCCAGTATCTGCTGCTCCCCTCCTACCAAAGTCCAGCTCAGCAGCACAGGGCTTGGAACCCATAGGCACATCCATGCTCTCAGGTTCAAGGACTGCCTCTTCCATACCCACCAAGGAGCAGGGGTGGGGGTGGCAGCCAGAGGTGCTCATCAGCAAAGGCAGAAGTTCAGCAGGGGTGTCAGTGGGTCAGGCCAGGGACCCAGAGCCGCAGAGGTGTTCCCAACCCTGTGGTGACACCACCACACCCATGGCCCCGGGAGGCCGGTGTCACAGAGAAGAGGCGATGACAAAGTCTCACACAGTATTTCCATGCTTCTCCCTTTGGCTGAGCACCTTCTCTCCCATTAATGATTTCATTCTCAAATGCAGAAACCTGCTCTATAGGCGAGGTGAGGAAACCAAAGCTCAGAGTCACCTTCAAGGTCCTGGGCAGATCCAGAACTACAGTTCATGACCTCTGACTCTGTTCCATTCATCCTCACTCATTCATTCACATTTAGGGAACAAGCAATATATATGAGACATCCTTCTGAGGGCTTTGAATGTACTAACTAAACTAATCTCCTCAACAACCCCATGAGGCAGGGACTAGTATACCCCTCACTTCATAGATATGGAGACTAAGGCACAGACAACTTCCGTGACTTTCCCAAAGTCCCACAGTAGCACTGGGATCTGAACACAAGCAGCGTGGTTCCAGACCCCCCACTGGTGACCACCACATGCACCCATCTGTAAGTGCTGGCACACGGACACATGCTGTTCTGTCCCTTTCGGCATCTATGTGTTTCAGAGACCTTTCCGTACCAGTGCACAGAGAGCTACCCTCTTCTTCCTAACAGAAATTTTGAGTGAATATATTATAAACTGTACCCTATGAGTGGACTTTGACACTATATTCCATCATTTTTTGTGGAAAAATATACATAACCTAACATTTACCACTTTAAGCATTTTTAAGTGGCAGTTCAGTGGCATTAAGTACATTCACATTGTTGTACAGCCATCCACCATCCACCTCCAGAACCTTTTCATATTCCCCATCTGACACTCTTTAGCCAGTAAGTCCTAACACCTTATTCCTCCCTCCCCCAGCTCTGGGCCCCACCGTCCTACTCTCCATCTCTCTGAACTGACCACTCTAGGTATTTCATATAAGTGGAATCATATGGTATTTGTCCTTTGTTGACCATGCCATCTTTTACTATCATAACCATGTTCCAGTGAATTCCTCTGAACCTATCATTATTATATCATCAGTATGTAAAGAAAAAAAAGGATACAGGTATGCAGATATCTCTGGCAGGATTCAGAAGAAACTAAAGTTTTCTCTAGGGAGAGGAACCAGCAATTGAGGAAACTTGTTTTTTTATCCTCTACTTGCTTTATATCTTTAGAAGTCTGTACATTGTTCATATGTTCCCCATCCAAAATAATTGTTAGGGCAGCCTGGGTGGCTCAGCGGTTTGGCACTGCCTTCGGCCCAGGGCGTGATCCTGGAGACCTGGGATTGAGTCCCGCGTGGGCTCCCTGCATGGAGCCTGCTTCTCTCTTTGCCTACGTCTCTGCCTCTCTCTCTCTCTCTTTCTGTGTCTCTCATGAATAAATAAATAAAATCTTTTTTAAAATTGTTTAAAAAAATCACAAGTAACCACTAGAGAAATAGAAATACGGTGTACAACTTCTAAACTCTCTATTGACCTCTTATGGCACAGACTGTTAAGTGTCCAACAAAATCTATGTCCCCTTCTTCCAAAATAACAGAACAGTGGTGGGCAGGTGGCAGACCTAGTGCACTGCACTGTCC